TTTATAAAAGGTGTCCATAAAGTTTGTGTGCGATTTACTATGTTAAATGATTTTAAATTGCACATGAAATTTATGTCCACTCTGAATAATATAATTGGCATAGGTCATATGTACAAATGAGATAGAGAAGGGCTGACAGTCTTACTAGTCGGTGTTTCCGTTGTCTCCCTGTGTTTGTGAGAGGTAGTTTCCTCTTCAGCTTTTTGATTAATAAGTTGATCGTCTTTTCATTATTTCCTGCATTGGCTGGTTTTAGTCGGGTCTCCTGAAAACATGAAAATGCTGACTGCTCACAGTGTCTCTGAAAGAGAAATAATTTGTTTATATGTTAAGGAAAGTTATTCAGAAAGGAAAAAAATGATATTCCCAAAGCTATTTCTACCTTTACGACAGTGTCTTGGATATATTCATTTCGCAGACCAGTGAGGTATGATTTCACCTCCTAATTAATCTTTGGGATGAAGAAATTGTGGTGCCTGCATGTCAATTTCCTTGTCTTAGGAAAGAAGGGACGTTTCCCAGTCTAACAGACAAGAGCCTCACTTCTTCACAAGTCTTTATTCCTAAGGCTGTACTGCAGGCCATTTCAAGGTCTGGACAGTGGGCAGAACTTCTATGTTTCAAAAGTGAGAGTTAGTTTGGTTGAGAAACATTTGCTGAATTTTGAAGCTCTAAAAGTTACATCGTGACTGGCAGCAGCTTTGGGTAAATTGGCTAGAGTACGATTAAGAAGATTTTTCATTTGTTTGCTGCTTCTCTATATAATGTACACAGGAGTATCTATCAGTGACATATCTTAGCCACACTTCATTCTACACAGCACCAGGCATAGTGTCTTGTTGCTAGTGAATGAGATATATATTATTATTAATGTATATTATTATATATAATGTATTGTATATATATTATATAACACTATTTATGTTATATAAATATATATTTATATACACATATACATATTTACATGTATATACATATGTGTACATATATATACATGTAGGTATAGATTTGTGGAGTCAACAGATGAGGTAAATGGATTAAAGCCCCTCCTTTAGGGAAAGGAAGTGAGTACCTACCTCTGATGATATATTCCACATCTCGGATTCAATACACTTGCCATAGATCACACAGGACTTTTCTAAAATCCTATTCACACTCTCAAGTCAGGTAGGGTAAGATTCTGCCTGAACCAAGCAGTCGAGGAACAGAGTTTGAGACTCACTTAACCAAGGGGAGGGAAGACCATTTCTTAGAAGGTGAGAGTATTGTCTCAGAGAACGGAAAAGTGATCAGAACGTGCATCAAAAAACTTGTCTCTTGGTTTGGCAAAATAGCGAATAAGTTACAATCTTAGCAATCAAGCTAAGAAGAACAAAATTTATACTGACTTGTCGAAAACATTTTAATCCTGATCTAAGAGTTTATATCCAAGTTACTTGTATCCGAGTTATTTTCATCTTTCAGCAAATGTGTATATATGATGCTTTTTCCCCTGGAGTTGCTCTCTCTTCACTTCGCTGATGGGTATGGAGGCCCATACCTGATAACCAGAGACCTCAATCCTTCCCATCCCTACAAGAACAGCCTGATATATAACAATATTACATGAATCTTCTCATAGACAGTCAGCTGAAAATAGCAGCTGGCTTGCTTTGCATTTTCCAACCCATGTGCTTACCCAATGCGAATGTTGATTAATAACTTGCATCTTTAAAACACAAACCCATCAGGTTTGCTTTGCATATATAGCCACAAGCCAAGAACCAGCTTATCTGGTTTCCTTCTATCAGGGCAGCTTGCCTCTCAGAGGGCAAGGTGGTGTCCTTTCCATATGTTTGCCAAAATGCTTATTTAATAGAAACTATTTATAAATGTTAATTATAGCACTTTTTTTTCCTTGAAAACCACATGTTCATGTTTGTTGAAGTTTTTTCTTTTCTCTTCTTTTTGACCACAACCGGCTTAACTTACTGGAAAAAAATAATATTCATATTTAAAGAGGTAAATTTTCCAGCTGAAACTGAAAACACTAACTGCTTCATCCGTGATGATCTGAGAAACCAGCATTTCTCACAGAGGCCCATTTTGCTGAGTTAACATTTACATGTGTATGTTGAAAGAAAATTAGGTTCCAAAGAAGTAGAGGGGCCCTACCAAACGAACTCCCTTGAGACAATACTGCCAGGACAGTCAAGACCAGTGATCAAAGGTTTTCCACCTAAAAACGCCTTTCTGAAAGTTTTTCACTGTCATCTGAACACTGACACCCATATCAATACAGATGTGCTATTCAGATGACTTTCCTTGTTCACCTGTGTTAATAGACAATGGTGTTTTGTTTTGTTTTGTTCTGCAAGCAGCAGAGCTATCTCTGGCAACGTTTGTTCCAGAACAAATAACTGCTACATATGGCTTTAAATGCATATCAAAGGCAGGTTCAAAGAGGAAAAGGAGTGGAGAACTGTTCCTCGCAGCTGCCTTAAGGCTGTGTTTAAAAGGGGAGTGGAGAGATTAACCTTGATTTTGACAGTTTCAGGTACCCTGCCACTCAGGAGTTTACAGGTTGGCCCAGGTCCATGTGTAGCACTCAGACCATAACCATTACTCTCCTTGGCTGTACTTTGTCAACAGCAGACTTTGTTTCCTTTATCCTTTAAAGCAGGGGAGCATGAAGAGTTTTCTGCTCCTATTTTAGTTTTACAAACTAGAGGGGACAGTAATAAAGTCAAAAGCAAGAGTAACAAACCATGGCTCCCTAACCCAGTGAACAAGTCAGAAGCAAGAGTAATAAAGCATGGATCTCCAACCTGTCTGCTTTTGCAAGGAGGCACACTTGACTTTGTTGTTTTGCAACTGAATATTTGACAATACTTATCTCCTCAAAGCCCATTTTTAACCTACTTTTTTTCTTTTTACTTTTTCTTTCTTTTCTTTCTTCCTTCCTTTCTTTCCTTTCTTTCCCTTCTTTTTCCTGGTCATTCACATTAGGAACTCCTGCTAACTGAGCAAGATTACCTTAGTCTTACCACAAACTGGATTTATATCAAGGTTTCTCAACAGTGGCATCACTGACTAGATAATTCTTTGAGCTGAGTAGTTCTTTGTTGTCAGGGATGTCTTATGCATTCTAGAATGTTTTGTAGAGTCCCTGGCCTCTGCTTTCTCGTCTCCACCCCACTTGTCACTATCAAAAATTGCTCCAGACAAACACAAATATTTTCTGAGGGGCAAAAATCATCAGTTGAGAACCACTGGTTATATGAGTAGACAGAATGAAATAGAGAGAGAGAAAGATGCCTAGGAGGCCATTTAGAGATCTTAGCTTATCATTATATCAATGCAACATTTAAACAATTTTATTTTTCTTAACTTTGTACATTTTAAAAACTCCTTGATGCTAGCCCTGAGAAAGTTGATATAATGCTAAAGTGGCCTTGAACTATTTTGTTTTTTCCTGAGTTTGCCAGCTAAGGTAGCTTAAAGATCTTAGATACACAGTTATACACTTATATCCAGCCAGCCTTGCTTCATCAGATTATCAGATAGATACCATATCACTGAGACAATATCTTCTCCTTATGATGTAAGATAAAGCATACCTTTCATTAACACTACAAAGGAAGTACCCATTGGATCAACTCAAGTTAGAAAATGGGGTATCTTTATTTTTCTTATTTTGTAACTTAGAGACTATAGCTAGGAAACTTTGGAAAAGACTCTAACCACAGCAGTTAACAAGGTGTAAGAGATGCTGAAAATATATGTTTTGATAACATTTGATCTAGAAATATTCTCATTTATTGGAAAAGTCTTTCCAATAAGCTGAATATGCTACTTTCATTTTAGATGCAGCTTATTAGAAAAGGACCTAGTAAATTGAGAGTGGTTAGGTTCAGAGATGGAGAGTGAATTTTAGAGAAAAGCAATAGTTGTGACTCATTCACTTTCTAAACTTTTACACAGTCATTTACGATAATTGTTTTCTTTGCATTGTATTTTCCTAAGTCTCCCCCTCCCTTATAGTGTACTAATTACTGGTAACACTTTTATAGTTATTCTAATTTATGCAATTAAAGGTCTGTGACAATGAAAACATTTCTCCATTTCCCCAAATGCAAACCAGAAGACTAGACTGAAGAATTTACTGGAGAAAAAGAAGCACACTTGAATTATATCCCCAGGCCTCTTCTTCTTAGGACTCTACTGGACTTAAACGACTTAAGAAACAAGATGAGTTGTTGAAAATGGTTCCTTCAAAAAAATCTCACCCGAAGGCCACAGACAGGACTCACTGAGGCCAAGGTATGTGAACTATATTCTAAAGAAGGGCTTTGATGTCCACATCACTATTCCTCTATACTGTCTCTGTAATCTAATTCTTAACTTTCTTTCTTTTTTTTTCAGTTTGTTATTAAAGGTGAATTCTGCTCCTTCTGGTATGTATCTATATTTCTTAAATAGAATTACAAAGAGATCCCAAGAGCTGTCATGCCCAAGAGCTCTTAAAATGTAACTTAGCTAGTTATTGCTCAGAAACTGATCATAGCATAGGACTCTTTTCTAGTTTTGTTATTCTGTCTCCATTATACTTAGGAGTACTCTTAGAGATGTTTGAAGATAATCATATTTTATAAGAAATGTAATATATCATTTTTTTGGTTGGTTTGTTGGTAAATCAATGAATGTTTGACCAAAATAGAAATAAATATTTTACCAAGTATTAAACCCTCAAATTCATTGAAATTCAGCATATTCCTCAAATAAACATCTTAATGCCTTTCTTATTGGGTTTAATAACATATCAAATGTATTTTCAGAAATAAACTCAACTGATCTTACCTTTACATCTTGTGGAGCTGGCAGAGATTCAGGGTCCTAGAGCAAAAGAAAATTGGTTCTGAGTTATTTTTATAAGTCAAAGCCTCCTTTAATAATAATTGAAAAATATTATTTAAATTTTGTTGTGACAAGTATGGTCTTACCAAGAAATTCACATAATTTTTCAGCTGGTCAACAATATCTATAAGTTGACGCAGTCTAATCATGAAGCGATCTTGATGTTGGGAGCTGGATTTATGGACCAATGTCCCCAAGAAGATGACCATTAGACAGATGACTATCCTCTGCATGTTGCCAGGACTGGATCTCATAAGGACCAACAGTAGAGCAAGACCTTGGTCTCGCTTCCACCTCAGCTTGACTGAGAACAAGCTGTCAGTAAAGCTACCTATTTATTCATCCTTCAGGGAGAGGTAAAGCCCTCCCATTGCAGCCTGGAAATCTTTGTAAAATGGATGAATGTGAGTAACTCTTTTTTCTTTTCCACTGGCTAGGTATACGTGTGCATGTGCTAATGTGTGGGGGCAGGGAATGATGGAGTCAAAGAAATATGCCCCATCTGCATCTTTGACAGGAAAAGAGAGAAATGGGTGAATTCCAATTTTCAGCATGAATCAAGAATCAGTATAATAAACAGTAGGTACTACAAGACTTCAAAGAAGTAAACAAAAACACTTTGATCTCTTTTTCTCGGACTCTTGTGACATCTTACCTGTTCTTTCTGACAGTCATAAGGGCACTTTGAGAATGAGTAAAATAGCAACATGGGCTTTTGTGCAGGACTTTTTCTTATGGTAATAATTATATCTTTTGACTGAAATCATCCAGTATTCCATCATAAAGGTGGGAGGAGAGGCTGCCTTTTAGGAAATTTAAATAAACAGGGTATTTTCCAAATCAGCAAGAATATTTTAGGTTCCTACCAAGTTTCAAGGGTTGAAAATAGAATTTGCTTCACCTCCTCACCAAAGCATCTTCAACTAACTCTAATGTTGACTTTTGGCATTTATTTAACAATATTATTTATAAAAATCATAAACAATTCTAAAGAATTCTATAGAAAATTCATTTATCTCAATCAATAGCTCTTTACCATAATTAAAAAAAAATTCTCTAATGTCAATTTCTTCTATGTTACGCACCAACCAAATGAATGAAAATTGCTAATATTCATTCTTTTTCAAACAAAAAATATTTCCAAACAGCAAAATCACATATGATTCTTTTTCTCTTAGGGTACTATTACTTATTTCTGTTAGATACTATTTCCTTTAGGTATGAGCAACACATTTCTAAAGATATCTATAACTAGGTAGAACTCAATAAAAGACTCAAAATTCAGAAATGATTTTATCATTGTCCTCTCTTCTGCTTCTGTTGTCAGTATGACTTTTATCCATTTGGGAAGGTTGAATATAATATTCTAGCCAGAAAGAATCTTGTTCCACAAGCAGTTAGGGATTACAGATAAAACTCTTGACTATAGATTTTATTTATTCATTTATTTATTTATGACATTGCATACTTACTAGAATACCATACTTTATTCTAGAATGTTATGTAGCCAACATAAATTGGGTTTGGGGTTTGATTTGCTGTCTACATTTGACTATAATCTTTTAATCATAGAATATCTATTCAAGAGTATATAGGCTTGGCCTTAACAGTAGATAAGAATTCTTATGATGTGATTGATAATGCCTTCTTATAACCATTAAATTCTATAGGGGAGAGTTCTGTGTAAACTTTTTAATTCCTACAGACTAAGGGCTGCCACTTAGCGCTTCCTCATTACCCACATGGCCTTTGTACTTGCTTTCCATATCTACCTAAACGGATGTGCATCTCCATGTAGACGCTCACCACAGCAGCTAAGGAACCAATTTCTAAAGCAAAGTGCTTAGATCATAGCACATATGACCCTAAGTAAGTTATTAGAAAAGGAAGGTAAGTATTGATTGTAATCATAGAGTTGTGATGAGCCTTAAGTGAGACATTCCAAGTAACAAGGCTAAGGATTACAAGGGGTAAAATCCCAGGAGGTTTGTGTGCTGCTCATGGATGAAGGTGAAGAAGAGAACTCAAGTCTAGGGAGGTTAACTGATTCATAGAAGGGAGAGAATGGCCAAGTTGGTGTTCAGCCAACGTACACAGGTGTGACTGTACCAGTGATAAAGAAAACCGTTGAAAGGCTTTTGTACTATTAAAAGAAAACGGCTTCTCCTGGCTCTTGGAGAGCCTCAATACCCCTGTACCTCCCTAAGACCTCTCAGCCCTTTCTATAATTCATCAACCAGCACATCAGGGGTCTCCAAAGTCCTGCTCCAGCATTAGGACCTTAAGACTTGTCTTAAGCTTTTTTTTTTTTTT